AAAAGAGACTGTCTTAACTTAGTGTCTGTTAAATGTAGTTTAGCAAAATCTGAAAACCCAGGAGCTCAGCTCATCCTACCCAATGTCATTCACTGGAGATACTCAAAGAACCGAGGTGCTGTTGTGAGTTTTTATTGTTACAGTTTCTAACGTGGTCTTGAGGTTACCCTGTCAAGAGTGGCCGTAAGCCGAGATAGCGCCTCTTTAGGGAAGCCCTGATGGAATGGTGTGTAGTTAGGTTTGGGTGTGTTGGTCAGCTAAGGCCCAATGAGGTGAAACCAAAATGCATCAAACAGAGGAAATGTCTTACTTACAGATTCCAGAGATGGTGGCGGGGGGGCCTCCATGGGAGGTCTGGAGGCAGCGGCAGCAGAGCTCATCCAGGAGGTGGGGAGCGAGTGAGAGTGAGTGAGCCTGTGGGGCTATGCTTTTATCAGGATCCAGGGGCGTTACCCCTTAGGCTTTCCCATGGGGGTCGTGGATTTGTTAGTTTCAAGAAAACAGGTGCACAGGGGAAACTTACTGACACGACTCTGGTGTTAATCATCAGGTGTTACCACCGGCCCACAGGTGTGGGAAGTGTTGGGTTTTTGGTTGGTGGGATGAGGAAGGGGCCTGGGCTCTATTTTTCAAACAACACACAGGGAGGGAAAGTTTTAATGAGGCCAGAGAGGGCAGGGGTACAACAAGGTTTCAAAACACTTAGGTCGGGCCTAAGAATGGGTACTGAGGCAGGAGCTCTATTGCACTAATTTAGACAGGCACCTCCTGGGTCTGTGCTGTGATAGGAAGTCTTTGCAACACCTGACGCTGGTTTCTCCAATCATGGTAGTTCCTCCTCCAGTTTCCTGAAGAGGCAGGCAGCATGGGGCCGGATCTCAGGGCAGTGGATGGGACCGTGCGGGGTTTTCCCTTACCTGGTGAACAGGTCCCATCCTTCATGACATTAACTGAAATTGCCATCACCTCTGTGACCTTGCCAGAGCTCCGGGAAGCCTGAAGTTAAACTGCAAAAGTGAGCCCACCATCTGCTGTTCTGCTGCTTATAATTTTCAGCTTGTCCATAAACACAAGCAAATAAATTGGCATGAATTAGCTATGAGATATATTTATATATAAACGACTATAATGTCATTAAGGTGATTATGGGACATGATTGAAATGTTGGATCCTAAACACTTTCCTAAGTGCCACCTGAAACACGGGACTGCCATTAACATAATGAGCAGAGATATGAATATTTCTGGCAAAGGCATCCTGAAGTAAGTAAGCCTGAAACTCAGTAACACTGAACAACCGAGTTCCAAGAATATTTGCTTTTTACGTCAAATCACGAAATGAAACATTCTGGAGGTGAAAAATCTAAGTAGTTTCCTGAGATTCTTCCTGTGGTTAATTCATAATCCTGGTATTGTTTTCACTAACTTTCTTCCCTTTTTTTTTTTTTTTTTTGAGACAGTCTTGCTCTGTCACCCAGACTGGAGTGCAGTGGTGTGATCATAGCTCACTGCAGCCTCCACCTCCCAGGCTCAAGCCATCCTCCTGCCTCAGCCTCCTGAGTAGCTGCAACTACAGGCAAACACCACCATGCCCACCTAACTTTAATTTTCTTTTCTTTTCTTTTTTTTTTTTTTTTTGTAGAGATGGGGTCTCACTATGTTGCACAGGCTGGTCTGGAACTCCTGGCCTCAAGTGATCCTCCTGCCTCAGCCTCCCAAAATGCTGAGATTACAAGCATGAGCCACTGTGCCTGGCTTCTTCCCATTTTAAAAAATGAAAACACATGGTGTAATGTTAGCGTATTTCCCTCTAGGCCAACAATATTTTTTTAAGTTGAGGACTCAAAAGAAAAAAAGCCAAGTGATAAAGTTGTTTTATTTCCACTTTACTCCTGCTGGAAGTTTTTGCAAAAGAGAGAAAATAATAAGAGCCCCTCCAGGAATGGAGGGTGGAAACTCTGTGTCCAGGTTTGCTTTCTGTCATCCACACCTTGATAAGCCACAGAGAAGAGAGAGAGCCAACAGGTCACATCCAAGGCACCACACTTGCAATTAATTTATTAGGAACTCATCATTAGTCACCCCAGAGCTTTCAGAAAAGTAGTGTCCTCTTGAGTGGATGTGCTTATATCCCTCAAAGCCTCAAAGCAGAAAAACATTAAACTTGGTAACAGTTACATTTCGTTCTTTGACTAGGAAGTAGTTATAGTGACAAGGTACAAAAAATAATAAGCATGCAGCCCTTTATTTAGTTTTGCAAAGTCTCTGCTTATAGTTCTGTATATTACATGACTGTGTTATACAAATACATTTATTTACAAACACTCTAGCTGTGCAAACTTGTTGCTTTTTAAAAATGTATGGATACTTCCATTTCTGCCCATCCCGATATATACTTTTAAAGCATGCATAAAAATTAACTTTGGTGTGGGAAAACTACTCTATGTGCTGTCACATACAGTATTTTAATGTCTATGTATATTTATATATTTACAAAAGTTTTTCGGTTTACAGAACCGTACAGAGTGTACATTTTAAAATCCACAATGCAAGAGCGTGGGTTACCAGGTCTCAGAAAACAAAAGAAGGGGTTAGATACTCCAAAGAAAACAACTAGAGAACCTCAACATGTTAAAAAAGAAAAAAGAAAAAAAAAAGGAAGGAAAAAAGAAAGAAAAGAAGCAAGCAAAGAAAACTAGCTTGCTTGGGCTAGCAAATTATGATACATACTTTTCATGGCAGTGCAATAGGTTTGATAAATTGCCTTCTACATATGCCTGTCTGTAGGGCTCAGGTAGAAGTTCATTGGTTTTATAGTCTAGCACACTACTTTCAAATGTACAATGCTATAGTATCAAAATGTTTTGGCAAAAAAGATCTTGAAAGGAATCATGAAGTTTTGACAAAAATAGAAATCTGTAATAAAGCTAAATAACACTAAAATAAAAGGAAATATTATAGTATCTTTTACAATTTGTATAGTCACACTTGTGTAATTCTCTGTTCACTTCTAGTCTCCGTAATGAAAAATAGTTTTATACAAAACATACTAAAATTCTGGAATCATACATGTTTTATATGCTTAAGACAATTCTCCCGTCTCACACGCACCTTTCTCTCCCACCAGAACCTCGTTTTGTGACACATGCTTACTGCATTTTATAGGTATTGAGTATAGACGGTAGACACTATAGCAACTAGGTAAAAACAAAACCAAAAAAAAAAAACCAAAAAACAAAAACAAAAAACGAGCTTTACTGAAATCTATTAATCCAGTATTTAGCACATACTTAGCATTAAGCCTCAAACGATACAGCAATATGTTACATTCTCTTGTGAAAACAGTTGTTGTAGACTGTTAATTTTTTTTTTTAACGTAACTCCGACTTGTGCCTGATAGGATTTGACCTTTAAGAGGTTTCTTTTGCTGTGGATGGAGTGGCTTTGCTTGAACTTCCGTTCTGTGCCTTGTAGCTGGTGAGGCTGGGAGTATGGATGGTCCTGGTGCCCTTGGCACCTTGATTCAGTGAGACGGAGGAGGCGGGGGAAGGAGGGGAGGAGGAGAATGACAAAGGAGGGGGTGCTCGGCCATTTTGACTCTGCGGTGAGAATGAAAGATGGTGACCTTTACCTGTATGAGTAAGGCTCTGAAACTTCAAAGAGCCATTAGAGACAGAAGGGATGAGGGAGGCAGAGTGAGCAGGTGGTCCTGTTTGGGGGCTGAGAGGGTTAGAAGCAATCGACGGTTTAGTAGCAGGTGGATTAGGGAGGTTAGAGCTGTCACCACTAGAAGAGGGCAGAGAACTGCTTTTCCCAGAGCTGGGAGAAAGGGCTGGAATCTTAGAAGCAGGTAAGGAGGGGGAAGTAGGCTTAAAGTCCCCACCAGATTTCTTAGCACTTCCATTAGCCTGCAAATAAAGATGGTGGGAGACATTTTGTCAGAAAGGTGGACACGTGATCAACCCACAGGGCCTGGCAACACAGCCCTTCTGAGAATAATTCAATCAAAGAAAACCAACCACACACAGTTCAAGGCCTGAGCTGTCTTGTTGTGCTTTACTGGACCTGGTAGAAACCCCCCACGTACATAGCAAAGGATGGACAGGAAAGGAGGAAAGGAAGAACGCATTTGTGAGAGGAGTCCCATCATTCCAGCTCTACCATTTCCCGTGTGCCAGGTGGGCCATGCGTCTGGATAATTACTGGGGTGGGGGTCGGGCATTTTGACGGAGCGTTAATGTGCTTCTAACGCAATACAGTCAACATAGACGTTAGTAGTGGTGACGTTAAGGGCAGTTCCACCACAGGTTGGTTTGTCTCTGCTTCCCGAGGTGTTCAGATGAAACACTACATTCACCAAAGAAAAGCCACCTGGTCTGGCACCGTGTGTTAACAGTTAAAATTTGGAGCTTGGAGTCACAAAGTAAAAGATGTTTTATTGTAAGCATGCAAAAGCGTGGTGAAAAAGTTTAACAAATGGTTTTTAGACTTTCTTCATGCCCCCAGATCCAGGATGTCTATGTAAACCGTTATCTTACAAAGAAAGCACAATATTTGGTATAAACTAAGTCAGTGACTTGCTTCTTAACTGAAATAGCGTCCATCCAAAATTGGGTTTAAGGTAAAACTACCTGACGATATTGGCGGGGATCCTGCAGTTTGGACTGCTTGCCAGGTTTGTCCAGGGTTCCGGGTCTGTTCTTGGCACTCATGGGGACAGGCATCCTGCTCGTCTGTGGGGCCCCGCTGGAGCCCTGTGGGAAGGACCAGTGAGAGGGGGAAGAGAAGGAGAAGCACGTGAGTAGGTCATCCGTGAGGCTGCTCCGCTATGTTCAGAGAAGCTCAAGGTGAGAAGCCACAGCCCTACATGCAGGACAGATCTAGGAGACACCAACTGGGGTTAATCAGAAGAATCAAACAGAATCAACTGCTCACTACTGATCAAACGGATTTTAATGTGAGTATCAGAGCAATGATTTCAACAGCACATGGCTGACCCGGCAGCCTCGTGTTTACCCAACACCAGTCAGCAACAGAGGCAAAAACAGAATTGATTAGCTGTTAGACACCTAGTTGTTGTTGTTTTGAAGGTGAGGGAGAAAGTATGAAAGAAGGGTTTCATGGCGAACAGACAAAAAAAAAAAAAAAAAAAAGCCACCTGAAAGAAAGCAATTAAGTCACAAGACACCTTTTGCTAATGGTGATTATGGCAGATTTAGGAAAGCAGCCGGGTCTTTTCATTTTCCAGCAGACCAAGATACCTTACGTGAAGTTGAAGGTATCGACGTAGGGGGCTCTAGGGCAGTGGGGCCTTCATCCGGAACTAGCAAGGGTCGGGGAGAGGCCTCCTGGGCTATGTGGGATGAACTTGCAACAGAATCTCTGTTGGAAGAACCTGAGGTATCAACTAGGGCTTTGGGACTCATTTCACTGATTGTATTTTCAAGCTGTTTGATGGTCTGCTCCAGGCTATCCAACGTTCTGTAGGTGTTTTTTCTAATTTCATCAGTTCTTGAAATCGGAGACGTGCTCTCGATGCTGGACTGCTCTTCCCTCCTCAGCATGTTTTCAGGGGTGTCTTCAGGTTGAGACCTAGTGATTTCAAAGCGCTTGGCTTCTTTGTGTTGTTTCAGGGTGCCGTCCTCCTCCTCTTCTTCGTAGACTACCACTTGCAAAGTCTTCTTCCCTGTTTTAGTTCCCGTGCGAATGGCTTGAGTGAGAGCGGCGAGTTGCTTCTTAGGGAATTTGAATTTAAACTTTTTCTTGGGGCTTTCAAACTGGTCATCGGTCAGGTCATCACCCTTGCATTCCGAATGTGGAGAATCCACGTGGCTGAACTTGTCCAGCTCCATTCTGTTCATTTCCTGTCCCCCTGGGATTCTGGTCTCTGTTGCCAGAGAGTGTGGCTGTGACTTTGTTTCCACCTGTTGTCCTGTTCTAAGATTGCCCGGGGCCACCTTCTTATGAGACATCTGGGAAGTGGTATTATTCTGGACTACAGAATCTCCATTTTCCTCCTCTTCCTCCTCCTCTATCTTTTCTTCCATCATCATTCTCTCTAATTCCTCATCACACTCCTCAAAGATAGTTGAAAGTCTCTTATATGCAGACCGGATGTCCATGGGCTCGTCGAAAATGATGATCACTGGTTTCTTGTCCAGGCACACAACTGGCTCCTCACTGTCAGTCCCTTCTTGTCGGGGGGCCATCTCTTTTCTGGCATCGATATTAACCGTCTGTATGTCTTCTCCCTTTTGGCTAACAATATCATGCACCTCCCCACTGGAAAGAACCTGGACAGTGGTTTTGGTAATCATGAAGGCAATGTTGTCAGTGGTTGCATTTTCTTCAGTGGGAGAACTTGGACTGGATTCTCCGTCTTCATTAGGGTTCACGTTAGCATGCCTTGCCCCCTTGGGTCTTAGAACAACTTGGCCAAAATCTGTCATGATAACCTCTTGATCTTCTGTTTTCAAATCATGCACACTTGATTCTGTTACTCTACTAGGAGAGGAAATGTGACAATTATCCGTATTTTGCTTTTCCATCTCCTTTGTCTTTCCATAATTCAGCTTCTGGTTCTCGGTGTCAGCTATAGAGTATTGGGGGCCTGAGACTTTAGACCCTTTGCTTATTTCATCTTCTAATGAACTAACGCCAGAGAAGCTGAAATTGACCTTAGGCACAGTTTTTTGGGAATAGTTTCTACTGTCTTTGAGTAAACTCATATTGGATATGGAATTTTCCTTCATTACGATCTCAGTTTTATATTCTGATGTTCTTGATGCATCAGAAATACTATTCTCCATTCCTCTTTCCCACTTAGGAGGGTCACTAGGTCTTAGAGCCCCTGTGGTAACCTGAGAGGGAGAACGGAGGAGGGAAACCACACACGTTAATCAGCAATGGATCCGCAGAGCCAGGCAATTAATGTGCATGGTATCTGTTGGAAAACAGATCTGGTGAACTCACCTTTCGGAATTCCATTTGGGGGCCATTTTCATATTCAACATCAGATTTCCGTACATCTTCATGGAAAAATTCCAAATTCTGGTAGAACAGTGTAGGACATGTTACTCCACAAAACCACATTGCCCCCAAAAGTGGACTATAACTAAACCGTTCCTTTAATTACATTTCTAAGACATGCGGGCCACGCATAATTGTTACACACCAATCCAAAGCCTAGAGCTGTTTACCTTGGATTGCTTTGTTCTCCAACTGCCAAAAATGCCCTGTGTTTGCACAAGATGAAAATCTCAATTAGCAAAAGATTTCAAGAATTTAAAATTTTGTGGGAGAGTAGTGAAGAGAATAAAGGGACAGAGTCATTACTAACATGTCCTCTTTTCAACATCAGATTGTGAGCCTAGCAGAATCGAAAACCTGAAGAATTGTGAAAAGCACAATGTGTGGGCTGACAGAAAGTTTTGATTCTAATCCAGATCTGCCACTAAACTGTGTTACTTTAGATAAATCACTTTACTTCTTTGGCCTCAGTTTTCTTGCCTATAAACTTAGGAGCCAGCCCAGGGGAATTTTAGTTTCCCTTACAGCTTGTTATTTCAGTCCTCTCTCTGCTTCTATTATGGAGATTGTCCTATAAAGACATCTGCCTTGGTTGGGTTTGGCATTTTGGGATGAAAAAACATTATTTTCTCCTGATCAAATGACAAATGGAAATGCGGTTTATACTGTAGGTGTCAAAGTGTCAGAATCACCTTCACACGCCTCATAGCCAAGATGATCAAATCCAAATTCAGAGTGATCATGCTGGTACAATACAACCTCAATTCATAGCCATCATGCTGTCACAATATAACCTAAACATTCACAAAGCAGATATTTGAGGTTAAATTGGTGACGGTGACATCACGACTCAGCTTTCATTCTCCGTATTTCCCAGTGTAGAGTGAAGATACATGTCTTAGGGTCCCACCAAGATTCAGGATTGAAGGATCCAGTGGTGAGGACCCAGGTATTCAAAGCGCTTCACCTGGAGGCCTGGCCTTTCCCAGGGTGTATCAGTAGCCTCAGGCCCTGACATAACACTAACACTAGTGATGCCTTGTCGGTTCCAAGGCACTGCTGCCCTTTCTTCTTGCTGAGGTGGTTGATTACAGCAGGATGGAGCACAATTCCCATGAAGGCTACGGTTAAAGCAATGACAACACAAAGCACGAACACCCGGGCCCAGCCAAAGTCAACCCAGAGCAACCCTATGACCTTGGTTAAGAATGGAAAGACTGTTCATACACACCCAAGGAATGACACACAAACAACGCAGTCAGAATTAATCACACGGAAATATTACGCGAAGTACAGGGTACACGAGCCACCAAATACCTCCTGTTTTACTTCTGCTTGCTCCCCAGGAAGCCCCCAAATGAGTGCAGTGATTCGGCTGCTGCAGTGGAACCACAGGGCTTCTTTTGTGGGCTTTTAAATTTAAAATATGAAACAATGAATATGTCAAGTAAAAGGTTTTAAAGAAGAAAAATAATTGAGCTTCCTGTAATGCCAGCTACTCGGGAGGCTGAGGCGGGAGGATTGCTTGAGTCCAGGAGTTCGAGAACAGCCTGGGCAACACAGCAAAGACTCCATCACATACACACAAAAATAAAAAGTAAAAATAGGCTGTGTGCAGTGGCTCACGCCTGTAATCCCAGCACTTTGGGAGGCCAAGGTGGGTGGATCGCTTGAGGTCAGAAATTCGAGACCAACCTGGTCATCATGGTGAAACTGCATTGCTACTGAAAATACAAAAATTAGCTGGGCATGGTGGCGGGCACCTGTAATATCAGCTACTCGGGAGGCTGAGGCAGGAGAATCGCTTGAACCTGGGAGGCAGAAGTTGCAATGAGCTGAGATCATGCCACTGCCCTCCAGCCTTCAGGGCGACAGAGCAAGTCTCCATCTCAAAAAATATATACGTGTAAATAAAAAAAAAAAAAAATAAGGTTTCAGCCTAAGGTTACAACTCCAGATATGGAGTCAGCGTATCATGCCAGGACCCGAATGAGAACTTGACCCTGAATCGCAGATGGAGTTGGAATGTGATCTAAAGACACATATGTGGCAGATGTTCTCGGGGTCTATTTACTGGGGGTTAGGGCTGGCGTCTGTTCTGGTTGGTCATGGCCCGTGCCATTCCCATCATTAAACATTTCAGGCCAGGTGTGGTGGCTCACGCCTGTAATCTCAGCACTTTGGGAGGTGGAGGTGGGTGGATCATGAGGTCAGGAGTTTGAGATCAGCCTGATCAACATGGTGAAACCCTGTCTCTACTAAAAATACAAAAATTAGCCAGGCATGGTGGCACACGCCCCTGTAATTCCAGCTACTCAGGAGGCTGAGGCAGGAGAATCGCTTGAACTCGGGAGGCGGAGGTTGCAGTGAGCTGAGATTGCACCATTGCGCTCCAGCCTGGGTGACAGAGCGAGACTCGGTCTCAAAAATAAATAAATAAATTTCAACCACACCCCCCCCCATAATATATATATTTTAAAATTGAGTAGTAGCACAAATGCTCCAATGGAAAGTCACTAGGATAGAAATGTGAAGTTTGGTTTTCACACGACCTATATTTTTTATCACTGGGCCACAAAAAAATGAATTAATGTATCAAAGCAAGTGCATGAGCTTGGTCGTAATTGTCACGTAAACTCACGATGATTTCTTAGTCTTAGTCAAGACTCTGCGTGAAAGGTAATTATGCCTCTTTAATATGTATTTATAGGCCCTGAGATTTGGATTATGAAGACAATTGGAAAAGCATTCAATAGGCATATGGACAATAAACCAAAATGAGAGACAGGGTTACAGGAAAATTGCATACAAGTGAAGAACTAGGCTGGCGTTTCAGTAATGACAGGATAAAAAAATGCTTAAGAAAACATCTGATTTATGGAAGGATAAACACTCAGCCCTGGAAGAGGTTAATAAGGACTCAAAATTGGGGATAAGAGAAGTCTGATACTCATGGTCATTCTGAAGTAGGTTAATCTACTAAGATTAATTATCCAGAGTAAGCACCCTGGATAATTCCTGGCCTCAAGTGATTCTCCCGTCTTGGTCTCCCAAAGTGCTGGGATTACAGGTGTGAGCCACCAGGCCAGGCTAGGTTTTCTTCATGAGAAACATTTATCAACAGTAACCCCCCTTGGTATATAGTGAGATTCTCTTCCCCCTATTAACAGTGTCACATGTCAGTTTATGTGGCAGAGAGTTTACACAAGGGCACCATCGTGGCTATGAGGCAAGGAGAAGTGGGTTGGCCTCCTTGGCAAGGTAGCCTGGGAGCTGGGAGCCCAAAACTGTGTCTCTTGAACTGTTGTGTTAGAATAGCCTTTCAGTTTTGTGATACAACATCTACCTCCTTGAGCTGTCATACATGGACCGAGGTACCTATCTGTAGTAGCTATCGGGCTATCTTGCATCTGATTAGTTTGACTTTGTTTAAGGAAAGCTAGAATCTTTGAATTCTGAAAGATAAGTCCCTGGAGAAAAATGTTAGGCCTTGAATTGGTCATTGCAAGCTTTTTATCCTGAAGTTTAGATGCAGGCTTAATTCAAGTAAGATATCTCTATATCTAAAAATCATAGATGCTCTAGGTGCAACTTAAAGTTGCATTTCAAACATTCAGGCCATGGTCGTTTCCCTAGATTACTTATACAATGACAGCAGACTTTGTTTCAGAGCCTGGATTCTTTTTTTTGGCGTCACACATATATTTTAACACTAAAACTATACTGAACTTACTATCTTGGAAGGTATACTTTATAAATGGATAATACTTAGCAAAAATTCTGTTTGGCATCCTTGGACGTTTGTGCAAATACACATTTGTATGTTTCCATGAAGTTACACCTGTGTGTGGTGGTAGATGCTTTCTACCATGCATTTTCTTCCCCAAATCAAAGGTTTTTACTTTTTTTTTTTTTGAGATAGAGTTTTGCTCTTGTTGCCAAGGCTAGAGTGCAGTGGTGTGATCTCAGCTCACTACAACCTCCGCCTCCAGGGTTCAAGCGATTCTCCTGCCTCAGCCTCCCGAGTAGCTGAGTGTAGAGGTGACCACCTCTACACTCAGCTAATTTTTTGTATTTTAAGTAGAGATGGGGTTTCACCATGTTGGCCAGGTTGGTCTCGAACTCCTGACCTCAGGTGATCCACCCGCCTCGGCCTCCCAAAGTGCTGGGATTACAGGTGTGAGCCACTGCACCCGGCTGGTTTTTACCTAATTTTTTTTTAAACATAGATAGTTGTTTTTCTTTTTTGCCCAAAGGATGTTACAAATTAGAAAAACTACTAAATACTTGGTTGCTGTCTCTATATATTTCTTTCTAGAGTTGTTCTAGAAAGTACTGACAGGTGTATACTCTTTAGTTTGGGAAGATAGTGTCTAAATTCTGCATAGACTATTGTGTGCTGTGGGCTGGAACACAGTGTTTGCTCTGAAAACCTGAGCAAGATATCTCTGATTTTAACCTATACCTATGTCTCCATTAGTTTAAAAAAAAAAAAAAAAAGAGAGAGAAAAAAGACAGAGGGAACAAAGGTCGAGTACAAGAGCCGTGTTAGTGTCAGAGCAAGGAAGGAAGGACTCCCAACCGTGTGGCAAATGTGCAGTTGCCACGTTACCTTCTTCTCCTTGGGTGGCACCGTGGCGCCCGACCTAGTGTCTTTAACGTGACTGTCAGCCCGGGATGGCTCGGCATGACTGTTTGAATTTACGTCCATAAAGGAACACTTCTGGAATGCCTAAGGAATTAAAATACTGAGGTTAACAGGGATCCAAGGGTACTGAGGAGAACGGACGGAAACAGGCAGGAACAACTGGACGCTTGGGGACCCCAGCCCGGCTCCTGC